GCCGTTGGCCAGGGCACGACCGCCAGCGAATAATCCAGCGACCCGAACAAGTCACCCATCCCTGGACTGCAAGTTGCCGGGGAAATAAAAGAGCCCAGAAAGTTTATTCTCTTGGCTGGTGTTTCTCCACTTGGTATTTTGCTAAGAAGTTCATGCCAGCTGAGCTTGGGTTTCACTCTTGCTCTGATTTCGTACGTGGGGTGTGACTTAGCCGTGCCTGGCAAATAATTACACACACATACACACACGGTACTCTTATCATCTGACAAATCTGCCTGGACTCCACCAGCAAATACCAAAGTCACTCCTCTTTTCTTATCACAAGGCTGGAAAACTGCCGCATTACAGAGACTTGCGGGACTCTGCTTAGCTTTGCACCTCTTTGATTCCAAGGGCTACGGAGCAGAAAAGGTAACTAAAACTCACAGAGGAGTTGATTGGAAATTGTTGAGGCCTGCTGACTAATTTCTTTTCATCTTTGTTTATCTGCATGCAGAGCTATTGCTATGGCTGGCTCTTGCACTTGAAAGTTTGTTTTCCTGGCCATTCTTCATAGTCATTGAAATGCAAAGGCGCATAATGACTCTAGTGTTAAACATTAAGTTTCTATTTTTAGATAAAATTGGTACTTCTTTCAAACCTTGCGCTGTGCTAGCTTTCTATTTGTAAACTTTGTGTCAGATCACAGGGCCCCAAGGCCAGAAGGCGAGATTATATTTGAGGCTTGTCACTCCCTTTGGGATTCAAGCAGCACCCTCCGCCCCGCCCCAAGAAGAAAACCAGACAAAATCGGTGGCCAGCCTTGTCACTTTGACTCCAAATTCCCTTCCTTGCAAGCCCAGGTTGATACAATGTATACAAAGAGATTTAGTACCAAACCCAAACTGTTAGGCGTTAGAAAACAGGCAAATCAGAGTAGCGTGAAGTCCCACTGTGTCCCAGCCTGAGGAGTCCCCAATGTCACTTACAGTACCAAAGGACAGTTTAGCTCAAATTCTCCTTGCTCCAGGGCTGGTGCAATCGCTCCAGCAAGGTCCCCAGCTCTGGTTCCAGCTGGCCTGAGTCCTGCCTGTTATTTGAGGCACTGCCCTCTGCTGGAAGAGGTCCGGTCTATGAGTTCTAAGTCTCTCCATAGGTCACCGTTCCTTCCACACGTGCTATTGCCTGATTTGGAGCTCTGCTGCCCATCTCCCTGTCTAGCTGTCTCCAGACTGTCTGGTGGAATCCAAGGCCTTTACCAGCTCTGCTGGTAACCCAGTCTGGAAATTCCTCTTCTGAGCCAGCTCCTGTTGAGCAATCGTGGCGAATCTCTGCTCTACACTAAACTGTCAGAACCGGGAGCTCTTCTTTTTGAAGTCACCCCACCTGTTGGCAGGGCTTCCCTAGAGAGATCTCTGTTTCTCCACACAGTGAAACTTACTCCTCTCCTTAGTGTGGAGTCCTGTTAGGTCACATCATGTACCCTCAATAAATGTTAGCTATTTGGTTTTTATTTAAATAATTTAATAACATGTTAGGTTTCTTTATGTATTTAAAAAATCAGAACATAGGAGGAAAACAAAAATTTAAAAGCCCAGACATCTCCAAATGTCATTAAACAAAAGAAAGAAAGAAACACAACAATTGAGTTCTTCTTTCCCAAAGTAACTACTGTTAACAGCTCCTGTGTTTTCTTTCAGGACAAAAGGAAAGTTCTTTATATGCCACTAGCCCATGTGTAGAAGAAAAGAGCTCGGCAATCTGCTTCCATGAACATTTACAGTCTAGGAAACCCTATGGGGCAGTTCGATTCTGTCCTATAGGGTCGCTATGAGTCAGAAGCAACTAGACGGGATGGCATACCACATCATATCAATCCTCTTTCAAAGTATCTTTCAAAGTTACTACCAAAAAACCAAAAAACTCACTGCTGTCTGGTCAGATCCGACTCATAGCCACCCATCCTTGGGTTTCCGAGGCAGTATCACTACGGAAGTAGATTGCCCAACCTTCCTTCTGAGGAGTGGCTGGTGGGTTTCAACTGCCAGCCTTCTGATTAGCAGTCAAGTGCCTTAGGCACTACACCACCAGAGCAAAAGTGATCATACTATACACTTCACTCTTCACCTTGTTTTTTTCGCTTACTATCTCTTAGTGGTTTTTGTTGTTGTTATGTGCCATCGAGTCGGGCCCGACTCATAGCGACACCTTCTTGGGTTTCTGAGGCGGTATCACTACGGAAGTAGATTGTCCAACCTTCATTCCATAGTGGTTTTTAGAAAACGTAAATTTACTGACTTTTTGTTAATGGCTGTACCATAACTTAACTACCCAGTTTCTTATTGAAGGACATTCGTTGCCTTCTAGTTCTTTACAATGAGCATCTTGCACATGTATATGCAATGACTTTAGGATGAATTTCTAGCAGTTCAGTAATTGAAACAAAGAGTAGTTGCATTTCAAATTCCTCTTGTAAATATTGCCAAATCGCCCTTCAGAAAGGTCACACCAATTCACACTCCCACTAACACTATGACCATACCTGTTTCTTTACACCCTCACCCTAGCTGTTACTATTTTAGTATTTTATAACTATCGTTCCTTGCTTTAGGGTGTTTTCAGGACTAATAAATGCAGGGTAGTGTTATAGAAGGAATTTGAGCTTCAGCATCAGACGGTCCTAACTAACACTGCCCTTTGCAAGGCAGACCTCCGTGCCCTCATGTGTCAAGTTGGGCATAATAGCAGCATCTAACTCATAGGGCTCCCACGCATAAATGAGATGACCCAGACGAAGCACTTAGCCTTGCAAACACTAACTGTTCAATAAATGTCAACTGTTCATATAATAACTGTCCACTCCCAGGGCTCAAGGATGGAGGTGGGGGCTTCTCCTGCAGAGATCATGCCTTTGAGAGTCAGAGCTTTTCCTTTTACTTGTACTGTATCAACTGTAGCTCAGGCAATAATTTTAATAACATAGCAAGTTTTTCCCAGAGTGTGAAGAAATCTACTGTATAAACTATATCCAGAATATATAAACTACAGGTACATAATCTCATTTTACACAATTAGCTTGGCACAAGTTTAAAGTATTGGTCAGTTTGCTTCAGGCACCAGTTACTCAATTCTCTTACTTCTCTTTTCTAGTTGGTACAGCCATGAACAGTTCTAGATAATTTTCCCTCAATTCCATTTGCCAAGTGAGCCTTCTCACCTTCTTGGTCTTGGGAAAAGCCAGGCCCTTTCTATTCATGTCCCTGGTTCTTCTCTTCTGCTTGAAGTTGCTGTTGGGTTACTAGAAAGTGGAATCAGTAGTGTCCTTGGTCTTTTTTTAAAAAAAATTTTATTGTGATTTTGGTGAATGTTTAGAGAGCAAATTCATTTTTCATACAGTAGTTCATACACATTTTGTTTCATGACATTGACTGTAGTCCCCACAATGTAACAGCTGTCTTCCTACTTCATCTCTGTGGTTACCTCTTCCCTGTTTCCTTCTTTCCTATGCACTCCAGTGTCCTTGGTCTTCACCTACAGAGATCTTCTTGAGGGCATCTTTCCCTCTTCTTTCAATGCTTTAGGAGCCCCTTGCCTATCAATGATATTTTCCTGGGTTCTTCCCAGTTTCTAAGACCCCCGATCTATCTTCCCTTTCAAATTCTGCCTCCAGCTACACCAGCTGTTCTACATGTCAGGCTAGAGAGGTACACACAACCAATTTATAACTTTATTATTTTGTTCTCATTATTATAAAAAAGATAATGGTCTTTGAAAAAACATCAGAAAACAAAGATGTAATCCCACTACCCCAAAAGAAATAATCTCTGATGTTTTAGTGTCTTTCCAAGATCTTTTTTTCAGGGAGGGTAACAATATTTTTTAAAACTAAGAATGTTGTTGTTGTTAGGTGCCATTGAGTCAGCTCTGACTCATAGTGACCCTATGCACAACAGAACGAAACACTGCCTGATCCTGTGGGATCCTCGCAATTCCTGCTGTACCTGAGC